CAAATAGCAGGGAAAAGCCAGTACAAAATATGTACATAATACACAGGCTTGTCACAGCTATGGCAGACTGGCACAAGAAACGCTCGATCTCCACTGTCGTGTGTGTGGAGGAAGAGCCAAGAGAGCCAGATCTGGAAGGGCCACTCGACAGTACACCTGCCTCTCACAGAAGGAAGGTCTCCAGTCAGTGTTTGGCATCTCTGTGGAGGAAGATGACCGTAGCACACATCCAACATTTATGTGTCGCTCATGCTACGATACCATCAGTAAGCACCGCACACCATCAGTCAGGCCCTTTCAGTGGATGGTACATGAAACAGAGAGCTGCAGTGTAACTGAAAGCAACAATCTGTAATCTGCTTTACAAATTAGGTATGCAACCACTTCAAAACGACAAGGAGAGGTGGGCGGCCGGTGAATGCGTCCTCTTTCCTCGACCACATCAGCAAAGTTGCTCCGCCACCTACAACTACATCTCCCATCCTAGAGCCAGCAGACAGTGAACAACAGATTGGACTTTGCATGGCAGGGGCACACCTTCTCCATCAACCACTGGCATTTCCATGTGGTCATCACTTATGTGTGCAGTGCCTGCGGCGCGAAGCCAAGTCGGCCCACACCCTCCACTGTACATCGTGTGACACAACTCACGAACTGGTTCCTGAGTCAGCTACATCACCATCTGCATTGCTTCTAGACCTTATTGCAGAGCAGCTGACGAAGTGCAGAGTGTGTGGAGAGAGTGTGAAGGTCAAACACCTGGACCAACACCTCTCAAGTTCATGTACTGACCATGTCAGTGTCACTGTGAGGAGTGTACTCACAAGCCCCTGTCAGAGCCACTGAACCCCTTCGAGGAGAGGATGGCATCCACTCTGGTGAGGAGAAAGATATCAGCCTCAAAAACGTCAACCATCACATTGAGGACAGGTGGACCAGTGAGCATACACATACGTTATGTGCATAACATGTCCTAGCAATTACCCCTCTTATAGTCCATGAGCTTGATGAAGGTAGCTCAACCTCGGGCACCAGCATGCTCACCACGGACCACCCGCAGGAGAGTGAGGGATGTAGGGAAGTACAGGAGTGCAGTCAGTGGTGGGGAGGGAGAGTATCTGTTAGAGAGAGAGGTCACAACGCTGAGTGTAGAGAGTCGAACGCAGCTGCTGGAAAAAGCAGGAATTACACTCACCATCCCAGAACAGCAAGGTCTGGCAATGAAAGCAGACCTTGCTCTCCCGTGGAATAAAATGCGAGAACTGAGAAGGTATAGCAATGTAAGTGTACATGAGAGCTTGTACATTATCATTGCAATTGGACAAGGTGGCTGAAGGCATCAGGTGTTGTAATGGCGGGAGAGAAAAGGCGGCGGTGTCTTGCGCAGGAGTTGGTGGGAGATAACCTTGTTTCAGAACCAGTGCCCATGTCTTTCGCCCTCGCCTCTGGTGGACAGGAGATCCGAACCACTCCTTATGCCTACACCCCTAATCTGACGGCCAAGGTATTCCAGATCTTGACACAAAACATGCAGAGGTGATGCCCTGATATATAGTCATAAATAGTTTGCTTACACAGTATATGCACAACTTTTAGTGGTGGTGGGCTTCTGTGGCATGCTGGCATCCCAGAGGATGAGCTGTGGGTGAAGATAGGAGGAGATGCTGGTGGTGGGACGTTCAAGATGAACTTCCAGATCGTGAACATACAGTCCCCCACTCCCCACAAAACACGTATGTGTTTGCCATCTTTGAGGCAAAGGACACCACGACCAACCTGCATGTGGCACTGGACAGGTTTCAGGGAGACATAGATGCTCTGAATGGGACTCAGTGGAAGTAAGTCTGAGGTCACATCAGCTGGCAATGATGTATCTCACATAGGGATTACACAATACGTGTGTTCATCGATGGTGACTACGAGTTCCTGGGAAGGATGTACGGGATTTCAGGGGCAAGTGGTAAGTTTATGCTTACTTGTGAATCATCCACAGTGACAAGATCTCACATAGGCAAGCACTGCTGCTTGTACTGCACCATCAACAAAGACCACCTGAGAGTGCCTCTTGCAGAGCGAGGTCCATTTCCAGCTCGTACACTCCACACCCTAGAGAGTGACCATGCAAGCTTCATTGCAAGTGGTGGCAACCTGAAGAATGCCAAGCACTTCAACAATGCCATAAGGAGTCCTTTCTTTAAAATACCTTTGACCCAGGTAAGCCTAAAAAAATAATATGCACAACATTTTTACATGGTAGCCGGCAGGTCTGCCCACCAGCACTGCACATCACACTGGGGGTCTTCTACCGCCTCTTCACCCTGTTCGAGAGAGAGTGCCATGAACTGGACCTTAGTGCTGCACTGCATACCTCGTCTGCCTCAGGGCCAGCTGCTCTGGAGTCCTTCAGAAGCTACTCGAAAGCTCTGCAAGAAGTCCACCGAATCACAGACCAGATTGAGGAAGAGAAGAGTGGTTTGAGTGGGCTTGAACAGCTTGTTAGCTTCCTCACCATCCAACTGACGTCTCCACAGGCTGCACAACCTATGCAGTGCCTGCACCAGCAGCTGGTTACCAAGAGAGAGAGAATAAAGCAAATGGTATAATGGTATATATTTTACATACAGATGCATAGATATACACAATTACTATATTAGGAGAAAGAGAAACAGAAACACCAGAAAGCAGTGAAAAAAGGATACCCACAAGAGGAAGGGCCATTCATACGAAGGCTGGATGACACTCTCAAGGAGTTCAATGTGGCTAGACAGGCCTACTATGGCGGAACATTCGTAGGGAATCACGTGCACCGGTCCCTACAGGTGACATACACGTACATATAGACATAAAAATAATTATACTTACTGGTTGATTATAGACACAAAACATCAGGAGCTTGTGCTCTGCACCCATTGTTCAAGCCCAACAACACTTCCCCCACCTAATACCGGACTGTGAGGCAATAAGAGACCGGTTTGAACCACTGTTAGCCCTGTTCAGCCGCTGCCACTCCATTTTCGACCAGAGTGAGGTCCACGATTTGGATAATCTAGGTATTAAGTAATGTATGTACAAAAAGATGTGTTTATACATGCCCACCAAAACCACTGCGGATGAGGCCATAAAATCTTTCCTGTCCTACTATCGATGGGTGTTTCCAGAGGCATCAGTCACAGTCAAGATGCACATGCAAGAAGAGCACCTCGTCCCCTTCCTTCGAGAGTGGCGTGGCATTGGCTTCGGCCTGATGGCGGAACAGGGGGCTGAGTCTATCCACAAGGAGTTTAACAACCTCATGCACCGCTTCGTCAACATACCGGACAGGGTTGAGCGCCTCAGGTGTGTGCTCCGTGAGCATCACCTTCGCTGCTGTCCAGTAAACAGGGATGCAAAGCCACAACCTAAAAAAGGAAGAGTGTATGTAGAAGAGTAACATGTATTCTACCAACATTATCATCATCTATATAATATATATCAGTCTGAAGAATGACCTAACACATATGGTCATAGTGTATTTCTCAGGAAAGAAATACACTATGACAAGCACCCTCCCCTCAACCCACTACATAATACACTCGTACAACATACCTCTCTATCCCCGATCCAGGAAGCGGCGCCACCTCTTCGTCCGCACAAAGGTCCAGCCCTGTGCTTTACAATACTGAAGCAACGGAGAGTAAAGTTACCACACGGCGAAAACTTCCCGGCTGTGTGAGTCATTGAAACTCGAGGATCGTGGTGAACTTGTCCGTAACTTGCTCGTCCTCCGTGGTAAAGCTTCCGGACAAAAACAACAGAGAAGCCACGTCGAGGACCCCCGCGGCTATCGCGTTCTAAGCGGCCCACTGCGCGTTCCAAAAATCCGGAACGGGAAGTCAAAGTATTTCATGAATATCCATATTTCAAATTGTTCGTGGCTGCGTTGCTAAGCGGACCGTGCGCTTACGTAACTCAATGGGCAAATTTTTTATTACGTAAACACCCGTGGCGTGCTACAGTTAGCAAGTTTGAGGAGTGAAGAAGTAATTTTAAAGAGAAGTGCCTGAGGCTATTTGTTGTTGTAGTTGTTGTGCAAACGATTGCAAACGATGTAATACACATGCGCACCAAGTTTCACCTCAATGCGTGCTATAGTTAGCTAGTTTGAGGAGTGAAGAAGTAAATAAAAGTGCCTGAGGCTATTTGTTGTTGTGGTCGTCATGGAAACGATGTTACACACATGTGTACCAAGTTTCATCTCCATGCATGGTACCGTTAGCGAGTTTGAGGAGTGAAGAAGTAAGAAAAATGCCTGAGGCTATTTGTTCTTGTGGTTGTCATGGAACCCATGTTACACACATGCGTACCAAGTTTCATCTCCATGCGTGGTACCGTTAGCGAGTTTGAGGAGTGAAGAAGTAATTGTGCCTGAGGTTACTTCTTGTTGTGGTCGTGATGTAATACACATGCGCATCAAGTTTCACCTCCATGCATGCTACAGTGAGCAAGTTTAGGAGTGAAGAAGTAATGTTGCCTGAGGCTATTGTTGTTGTAGTTGTCATGGAAACGATGTAATACACATGCGCACCAAGTTTCACCTCAATGCGTGCTATAGTTAGCAAGTTTGAGGAGTGAAGAAGTAATTTTAAAGAAAAGTGCCTGAGGCTGTTTCACGCTGCCCGGTCAGGAGGAGAGACTGCTGACACCTCCGTTCCAGACGTCCAGGTAGCTCAGATCCAGACTGCTGGAAACATAACGGAACTCCTTCAGAAACCGCCGTCTGTGTCTGACACTGCTGTTCATTACTCTCAGGAGCAGGAGATGGATCCTGAGATCCTCGAGCTGAGAAAATTCCTATCTCAAGGACAGCTACCTGGTGACTCTCAGCGAGCGAAAAAGATTGCCTCTCAAGCTCCTTCGTTCGCGCTCATCGACTCGAAACGAAATCATCAGCGATGTTGTGTTGTTCCCACACATTTACGTGCTCACCTGATGGAGGAGAACCACAGTGGTCCGTTTGCAGGGAACTTTTCAGGAGAGAAGTTGTACAAGGCCCTGGTCCGACACTGGTACTGGCCATCCATGTACTCTGATGTTGTCAGCCACTGCACTTCCTGTCCTCAGTGTGCTGTGGTCCACTCCTCCGGACGGTTGAACCGACCCCCACTCCATCGACATCATGGACTTGCCTAAGACCGAGGCTGGTAACAAGCACGTGGTGGTGTTTCAAGACTTTCTCTCTAAGTGGCCATTGGTGTTCCCTGTCCCCGACCAGAAGGCCACGTCTCGCTCGTCTTCTGGTGGAAGAAATAGTGCCTATGTTTGGAGTGCCTGAGGCTCTGCTTTCCGATAGGGGAACCAACCTGCTGTCCCCATCTCATGAAGGATGTGTGCAAGCTGCTGGGAATCCGCAAGCTGAACACAACTGCCTACCACCCACAGTGTGATGGGATGGTAGAGCGGTTTAACAGAACTCTCAAGACCATCCTTCGCAAGCACGCAGCTCGTTTCGGAGCTCAGTGGGATCGATATCTTCCAAGTGTTCTATGGGCCTACAGGAACACACCCCACGACTCCACTGGGGAGAAACCGTCTTTTCTCTTGCTAGGCCACGACTGCAGAACACCGACTGAGGCCTGTTATCTCCCAGATACGCCAGCACAGGTCACAAGTGTGGAAGACTACAGAGAAGAGCTTGTGCTCTCGTTGACGTCAGCTCGGGACTTAGCCGCGCAATCGATCCGGAAGGCGCAGGAACGGTACAAACGGAACTACGACAAGCGCTCCACGTACATGACTACCTCCTTGAGAGTAGGAGACTGGGTGCTGGTGCACATGCCCCAGGACGAGTCTGGACCGCAGAGAAAACTGTCCTGACCATGGCATGGTCCATATCGCATCGTCTCAATCAGCAACCCAGACGTTCTCCTGACCAAGGTGTACTTCACTCAAGATCGTACGATCCAAGTTCACCAGTCGAGGGTGAAAGCGTGTCCACCAAAGTTCCCGGCTGCGTTTTATTGGTATGGGGGAAGACGCCGTGGGCCTGGACGACCACCACGTTGGGTGTCTAGGGTGCTGGATGCTCACACGCCTGCAGACCCTGGAGAGGCAGACACCACCTCTGGAGAGCCAGAGAACACCTCAGATAGTGGTCTGGATTCAGAGGATTCAGCTGACCACGCTTCAGACAGTGCCTCTGATCCGGAGACAACACCCACATCGGTGGATACGAACGCTGTTCAACCGCCGACATCGAATGATCGCTCGCCTTCGAACACGTCCAACACTTCGAACAGTGCCCCGAGGCCTGCATGTAAGTACCCCCTACGGAACCGACATTCGGGACGAACTTGATCACAGGGGGGAGTGATGTAACAGGGACACAGAGACTGTTATTGTATGTAGTCACCCCATGCGCATGCGCCGTAGTCATTCACCTGCATACGTAGTCACGTGATGACTTGCGTGTGTGTATGCTAAGAATAAGAGAGATGGATTAGTGTAACGGACGGATCGCACGTTACACATGGTATATGTGCAGTTCATGCCGTCCTCCTACTGCAAGCAGCTCTGGCAAAAGTAGTGATCTGCTGGTTACAGATGGTACAACTCCCTCTTTGTAAGTCTAGTGTGACGTAATATGGCCCTGACATCATCCATGCATGTATATTGTGCAGTTCATGCCCTCCTTCTAGCACCTTTAGATCTGGCAAATTGTCCTCATGTGATATCGATGATGAAGCCTTGAGCTCAGGGTAATGACAACCAATTTGTTAAAATATGAAGCAGATCAGACCGAGATATATACATAAACCAGTTCAAATTTGCACATTGGCTTTTTCGCTCGTGTTTCATGCCGTAACTCGGAGTTTAACAGTAAACCATACATCCGATGCTGAATACGTGTACGCAAGGTTGTCGGTATGGCGTTGAAAAAGAGGAAAGAGGTTGCGGATGCGCGTGGGCGCGGGTTAATAAAGGAATGGCCTCTGGGAGTCTCTCACTCTCTAATTATCACAACTGTACTTACAACATATCTTTAAAAAAGTATGTCGTGAACCCCTGGTGTACAAGGCTGGTTGCAATGGTCAACCAAGAGAATCCCTCCTTCAGCCCACCCCACAACTAGACACACACCAACCTAGTTCCAAGAGTGCATCATGTTCATGTATTAAGGTCTAGGGGCCAAAGAAAAGGGCAGGGGAGACAGCGTATTCTTTGCCGTTGTGTATGGGTACCGGAAAAATTGTTTTGTGTAGACATGTACCTAATGTAGGCTTGTTAACAGGAACATACCCATTTACATGTGGACATAAACATCACCTACACATCCAGACAGCTACCAGAATCACATGGCTCCTGCATGCTACATGTGTCAGTCCGTCTAATCACGGCTGTTTCGATTGCGCGTTTTTTCGGGACATAAAGTTGTACGATGACGTAATTCTGATTGTCGCCGACGCTTGTTACGTTCCGTTTCTAGGCAGCTCTTTCGGCGCACACGTGTCGTTTCTGCTGAGTTGGCAGTGCTGGCTCTGTGGACGAGACTTCGCTGAGCGTTTTCGTCCACGCCGTTTCAAAATCCACCGAACGTGGACGGCCTTACGTTCCCAAGTAGTATGGTCGACTCAAACGGTCTTACTGTTCACTCTCAGAAACGGATTTGCACCAGAAACAAGGCCAAAGGATGTACCATGCCCAGGGACCTGAAGTTATTCTACTTCGCATTTTTTTCTTATGCGTGGCAGAGCAAAAAAGATCTTGCTTTTTATGATACACAATTCTTCATGTAACTCTGATAACGTGTATGTGTATGTGTAGCTTTCAGGGGGTTGTGTGGCGACATGACTGGGTAGGCTTTTCAGTAGTTGCTCTGTAACTACTCGTCGTAGCCTCTCCACGCGGTCGTGGCGCTGGTTTCGGTGCCTTTGCTCAATTTTTTTGAATTCGGCATGGATGGTCTCTGCCCCTTGCTTGCCCATTACCCCAAATCCAACTCCAACTCCACCCCACTTCCTGATCCAGGGTGCCATGTGGTCCTCAAGGAGATGGAGCTTGGGGGTCACAGTTGCATGTGGGTACATCTGTCTGTAGTGCTGAAGGAAGGTCTTTATGCCTGTTTCTGCAGATTGAATACTACGTTCCTTGCATCCATTCCTGCCATTCCTTAAAAACGAACTTACCAAGAGTGGATATCGTTGCTTCTGAGAGGTACTTGTTGCTGTATTTGTTGTGGCATGCTGCAAACAAAGTAAAAGTGTCGGCGAATTGTCGACAGAGTGCTCTGGCCGATTCCAAAAGGGGTGGGCACTCCTCTGCCAATATCACCAAAGATTGACACAGTGTGTTGATGTTTTCAGCCTAGATGCAGAGTGTGATATTGCTTCAAGCAATGATTATGCGTATGTTTACCTTGACACCTATGAACATACAAACGTCCCACCATAGTAGGCTTCACGTTGGACATTGAAGCTTTTGAGAGCTCTGTCGAGGCCTATGATGAAAGGACCGTCCTCCATCCTGAAGCCTTTCTCTATGTCACTCTTGACCTTATCAATTTCTCTGTCCTATTATGTAATAAAATTCATCATACCAGTTTGTGTGCATTCTTCCTGCACTCACTAATGCCCTGTTCAACATAGTTGATCTGTGCACGCGCAGAATCTTCGGAAGTGGCTGTTAAGGCCATTCTTGGGACCAACTCCTCTAGCGCTGCTATGGCCTGCACGTGGGCATCTCTCTCCTCGGTGAGTTGGTGGAGTTTCTCAAATTTTTGGGCCAAACATTTCACCGCCCAGCTCTCCACCGCTCCTCTCCTGTGCCAATTGCAAATCTAACTGGTGAGCCGCCTGTTCCAGTAGTGTGTACAGGCAATAGAATATGCCCAGGCTTATGTGTAGTGCAGGTAAACATATCTGAAAGTAGATCCATCGTCAAGTGGTACACAAATTATAATACCTGGTCTATTTGTATATCCCACACGTGTGGCTGTATAACGTTGTTGAAATTCTTAGCATGTTTTATGTTCCCACCACTCTGTAGGAACTGCTGGTGATCCCTCTTCAAGGTGTCCAAGGTCCGTGGCTGGGAGTACCTACGTGTGTGGAGTGGTGTCCTTAGCTGGTCACGGGATAATTCACACCAGAGACAGCAGTGACGACCTACATTGATTTTGGTTACTTTTAAGCCCCAGAGAGAACATACATCCGGCAAAGAAATTCATAATCCCCACTGAGGAAGACTCTCACTCTCTTCCCACTGTAAGTATGTATGTATGTACGTACATAAAGGACATTTTTATTGGATATTGTACCTCTGGATCACCTGGTCCTTTAACGCTCAAGGGCTATATGGAGATTCGTGATGGCTTCAAATGCCGTGAAAAGTGGTGTGTTCTTTGGTGAGTTTGGTGTGGGCACGTTGCATAACTGTGCCTGGACCTTCATACACGAACCCCCTTTGTCCCCTCCAAACCTCTCCCTCCTTGTCCCATGTAAGAGGGAAGAGGGATAAAAGGTGATGAAATGTCTTTGGCAAACTGACTGGTTGTTATCATCCAGCAAGTGATCCTGCAGTAATTCCAGAGCTGATGCCCGTAGTTCCTCTCCAGTATGCCCTCGCTTTGGGAAGGAGAAATGGACAACTTCTCCTTTCACTTTCTCTACCACCCCCTGGACCCCTTTCCTTTGTTTGTTCTCTCCCTCCATCTGTACTCCCCATATCCTCAGCCACCTATATTATTATTAACTATATGCTACGCTATAACTCAGGAAATAAAACCAAGTCCTTAACTCCTCGCTAGCATCTCAGTGATTCCACAAATACCATCCCTATCTTGTCTCCCTTTCTTTTTATACGATCCTCTTTTTTATAATCCGCATGCATTTTTTTTTTACTTGTATAATAGGCATACGTACCAAGTTTCATCTCTATGCGCCCTACCATTAAGGAGTTTGAGACGTAAAGAAGTAAATTGAAAGAAAAGTGCCTGAGACTATTTGTTGTTGTGTATTGTTGTGTTTTTGATTACGTATACAAAGTTTGGTAATTTGATTACACTAACACATGTGTGTCGTTGCCTGGGGCACATTTGTTTACAAAAAAAAAGTCAGGGGTGCCGATTTGGCGCTATGGCGCCGAAAATGGCGTCATCACAAAAATCACAGCGTCGATGGGTGAATTTCAGGCGTCAGCACTTGTCGCTTTTCCAGTTCATGGCCTGCTGAGGTTCCTGCTCTGGCAACGCCGTATCGACTTCGACTACCGCGCTACTGCCACCGCCCACAAAAAAAGTGCGCACGCATGCGCAAAGTGTATGACTATAGTTTCATCGCAGTGCTTATAATTGGTGCCGCGCCAAGCTAGTATCTGACACCAATACATTGTCCCCGTCGTTTCTAAGTTTCAGCACCCCTGAAAAGTGACGTTGCACATGTGGTTATCGATACGCACATTCCTACAAAATTTCATGGCTTTTTCTCTTTCGCGTTTTTTAGTTACGCTGGTCGAAGAAGAAGAAGAAGATGAACAAAACTCCCTATCATAGCCCCATACATCTATCATGTCAATCACTATATGTGACCGTGCACGCAAAAACCAACCTTACGCCGCATTTTTGTGAAGTAGCTTTTTTGTATCGTTGTAAAGCTTGGAATGTGCTTGATACAGCGCTTATTTTTGTATATTTTTTGGGAAAACCCTTTAAAGGTTACGCTTTTTGAAACGCGGGCGACGCTGGGTTATACAAAACGAGAAATTGTGGAATGAAATTTTTCCGTATTCTTGTCCGCGCACGAATATGACGTCACGTACGGGACTTTTCCCGGGAAATTTTTAGACAACCAGAGAAATGTGGTGTGAGCGTGCAGTTTGACAGCAGACGAACGGCCCGAGTAGACTTCAAGCTTCTCTGTGAGGCGATTCAGGAAGAAGCAACGCTTTGACTTCTGTGCCATCTTAGCGTCAGCTGCATGTGCCGTCGTACCGTGCTGTCACTCATGTTAGACAGGTCGTTAGATCGTGTTTACCGTGAAAAATCCGGCCCGTGTGTGCTATGGATGCTGGTTCTAGATTCTAAACTACACAGTTAACAGGCCAGCTTAGCCAGCTACGTCACTGTTGAGCCGTCTGCCGGCTCCCGTCTGTCTTGAGCCGTGCACGCACTAGGCTGCCGGCGGAAGCTTATCAGCAACCACTCAGGTTCTTCAGGAACCATTGTGCCCGTGTGCGGAGTAAAGGAAAGTGACTGGTAGTCGCTGCATCTTTGTTGCCTAGTTTCACGGGGGGAAAGGGTGTGTACGAGATTTCCGTACACCCCCGCCGTGAGCGTCCGTGTCCGCTGCTCCGTTCACTGACCACCGCTAAAGAGAAATAGCTTCTTTTCTGGCGAGAAGGCGTCTTAGGAGGTAGGAAAGGTACCAGTAGGTAGCTCTGACGGGAAGCTTTACTTATAGGCAAAAAGTGGTTTTGCTTATACCGGTCGGTGTAGGCGTTATATTCACTCGTACTCGATAATTTAACATTGCGGCGTAAGGTTGATTATTGCGTGCACGGTCACATATACTAAGTACTAGATACTAATCCCTATCACTACGGTAGTACTTAGTGTACAAGTAAATTAAAAATCTTTGCGACTTTGAAAAGGAAGGGAGACAAGATAGGGATGGGATACATGAATGAACAGATTTGAGTACGCTGACACTTCCAACCCCATCACACAATCCCTATATTGTTGCCTGGTGTGCTACTCTTATAGGGGCTAAAAGCAAGCATTCTTTCACTGTGTCCCTTTGTTTTAGACTGCCGCATTCCGGTGTTGGTTACTCAGTAGTGTATTGTAAGTTCTGAGTATTGTAATGGTGAACGTTATACTTCACCTAGGCAACAATATAGGGATTGTGTGATGGGGTTGGGTGTGTCAGCGTACTCAAATCTGTTCATTAACCATCCTTCATGTATCCCATCCATATCTTGTCTCCCTTACCATCACTATTAAATTTGCAGGATTTTAATTTACTTGTCTCCTCTCAGTTTTATCACTAAGTACGGTAGTACTTAGTATATAGGAATTGGCATGGTACCTAGCATCATAGATGTATGGGGCTATGATAAGGGAGTTTTGTTCATCTTCTCCTTCTCCTTCTCCTTCTTCAGATTCAACACCCATAACTCAAAAACGAAATAACATACAGTAATGAAATTTTGTAAGAATGTAGATATCCGTCACCCGAAGAGACTGGTCATACTTATTTCTTTGTAAACAACAACAAATAGCCCCAGGCAATACATTATAATGGGATCACATGTGTCAGTATAACTCACAAATGGTAAGAGCTATGTGAACGAAACTTGTAGACATAATGTATTCAATCACCAACATCAAAATCACAACAATACATGTTTGTAAACAACAACAACTAGCCTCAGGCACTTTTCTTTAAATTTACTTCTTCACTCCTCAAACTTTCCAACGGTAGCACGCATAGAGATGAAACTTGGTATGTATGCCATTCCCATGACAATTTCATGTTTCCATGACGACTGCATTTTGTTTGAAAAGCCTCAGGCAATTTTCTTTTCTTCACTCATCAAACTTGCTAACTGTAGCGTGAAACTTGGAGTGCATGTGTATTACATCGTTTCCATGACGACCACAACAACGAATAACTTTTCTCACTCCTCAAATAACGGTATCACACATGGAGATGAAACTTGGTACGCATGTGTGTAACATTGTTTCCATGACGATCACAACAGCAAATAGCCTCAGGCACTTTTCTTTAAAATTTATTCTTCACTCCTCAAACTTGCTAACAGCAGCACACATGGAGATGAAACATGGTATGCACATCATTTCCATGACGACAACAGGCATTTTTTCTCTAGTATTTAAATTTTTATAGGGGCTTGCCCATCACAGAGATAATACGTAGTAGTATATAAAAATTAGTGGAGACAAGTAAATTTAAAATCCTGCGAATTAAAAAAAGAGGCATATAGGGATCATATAAGGAGACAAGATAGGGATGGGATACATGAAGCATGGGTAATGAACAGATTTGAGTACGTTGACACCCCCAACCCCATCACACAATCCCTATATTGTTGCCTAGGTGAAGTATTAAACATTCACCAACACATACTCTGAGTAACTAACACCCTTATAGAGTCCAAGTGGAGTTTAAAAGGCAATTGGGCCGTTACTAAACACAGCAGGGACACGGTGAAAGAATGCTTGCTTTTAAGAGTAGCACACCAGGAAACAATATAGGGATTGTGTGATGGGGTTGGGGGTGTCAGCGTACTCAAATCTGTTTATTACCCATGCTTCATGTATCCCATCCCTATCTTGTCTCCCTTTCTTTTTATACCATCCCTATATGCCTCTTTTTTAAATTCGCTGCATTTTTAATTTACTTGTATACTATCTCTGTGGAAGGGGCTATAAAAAGTTTGTCATCACCGAAATGATATGCATACCATGTTTCATCTCCATGTGTGCTGCCGTTAGGAAGTTGAGGAGTGAAGAAGTAATTTTAAGGAAAAGTGCCTGTCATAGAAACGATGTAATACACATGCGTACCAAGTTTCATCTCCATGCATGGTACCGTTAGCGAGTTTGAGGAGTTAAGAAGTAATTTTAAAGAAAAGTGCCTGAGGCTATTTGTTGCTGTATTCATCATAGAAACGATGTAATACACATGCGCACCAAGTTTCACCTCCATGCATGCTACAGTTAGCGAGTTTGAGGAGTGAAGATGTAGTTTCAAAGAACAGTGCCTGAGGCTATTTGTTGTTGTGGTTGTCATGGAAACGATGCAATACACATCTCCACCAAGTTTCACCTCCATGCGTGGTATATACAGTCAGCAAGTTTGAGGAGTAATCATAAAAGAAGTAATTTTAAAGAAGAGTGCCTGTGGCTATTGTTCTGGTCGTCATGTAATACACATGCGCACCAAGTTTCACCTCCATGCATGCTACAGTTAGCAAGTTTGAGGAGTGAAGAAGTAATTTTAAAGAAAGGTGCCTGAGGCTATTTGTTGTTGTAGTTGTCATGGAAACGATGTAATACACACCAAGTTTCACCTCCATGCGTGCTATTGTTAGCGAGTTTGAGGAGTGAAGAAGTAATTTTTAAGAAAAGTGCCTGTGGTTGTGGTCGTCGTGGAAACAGTGTAATACACATGCGCACCAAGTTTCACCTCCATGCGTGCTATAGTTAGCATGTTTGAGGAGTGAAGAAGTTATTTTAAAGAAAAGTGCCTGAGGCTATTTGTTGTTGTGGTCGTCATGGAAACGATGTAACGCACCAAGTTTCACCTCCATGCGTGCTACAGTTAGCAAGTTTGAGGAGTTATTAAAGAATATTGCCTGAGGCTTTTCACCCGATATGTGGTCGTCATGGAAACATGTAATCGTCACGGAAATGATAATATAAGGCATACTACCAAGTTTCATCTCTGTGTGTGCTACCATTGGAGAAGTGAAGAAGTAAATTTAAAGAAAAGTGCCTGAGGCTATTTGTTAGAAACATGTTGTTGTGATTTTAATGTTGGTGATTGAATACATTATCTGTACAAAGTTTCGTTCACATAGCTCTTACCATTTGTGAGTTATACTGACACATGTGATCGATCCCATTATAATGTATAGCCC